CAACATTGATGTTGTGATCTTACCGGAAAAAGACGGGCTTTTGATATCCAATATTTAAGACAGAAAAACATTTTACAATTGGTACACGAATCGTGTACCATAACGCGTTTCAGCGTTATTTGTAATAAGGGTCTCGAAAAACGAGGCTAGGCATATTCCACAAGTCATGTCAAACGGTGACGCTATATTCTTATCTGGAGAGCATGCCCAATAAATACTATCGGCGTAGACTGGAATAACCAGAAGCTAGAGATTGAAATTCGATTGAGAATACTGGCGTATGTTGCCGAACCTAACTGATTAGAAATTACAGAAAAACAGAAACGATTGAATTTGAATGTAAATCAATTTATAAAATATACATTCACATTACATTATTGTATGCGTTGTAACCCATTTGTGTCAATTTCTAGATCCCAAATATTAGCGACTTAGCTCCTTTAAGTTAAGAATTTGCTCAAAATTGTTCGCCTTATTTTAACTAAAATGTTTCCGTTTATAAAACTTTTTGTTGTTTTAATGTATCAAATACATAAATAAAAAACTATGTGCAAAGTTTTGTGTTTCTGGATCAAAGATATTTCTCATAAACAGTGATTGAAAGTGGAGAAAAATTCTTAGCTTTAGTCTAAGAATGCTTTGGGAAACCGGGTCCCCGGATTATTTTCGTATAGCTAAGCTCTGACTAATGTGTGAAATAGTTTTATTTAACGTCCGTTTCCACATTTGTTTTACTCGATGGGTGACTGGTATCTAACTTATTATATTTGAAACAACCCCTAAAGTTGAAGAACACAGAGAATGATTCGGCATTCTATTACACTCTTATATTATGTTATCTCGTGTTTTTCCACACAATGTGCCACATTACGCCAATACATTATTCACTGAACTATACTCTTCAAAAAAAGTAGGGGATATTCAGAAACAATACAAAACTGCAGAAATGCACTGCTGTTGTTATTCGAGGTAACCAGTGTATGTTAATAACAGGCCAATTGCCTACACATGAACATTAATAGTTCACATGGGCGGCTTATCTGACGGCCCCAATTCACTCGCAAAGAAATGAAATGAAATGAAATGGGGTTTAACGTCCTACTGTTTTGCTCCTAAACTGGGCTAATGAAGACGGGCATACGCCATACAGTGTGCTATGAGGGAAATTTTGCCCGGGATCTTTAACGTGCGCGCCAATTTGTACATGGGACCTCGGTTTTTCGTCCCATCCGAACAACTATACAGCTGTCCTTGTCAGACCCTCCGTCCTGCATCACTGACAAGGAGAAACCACGCTGGAAAATCTGGATGAACTTTGTCGGCCAATGCAGGGATCGAACACCCGACCTCCAGGCTAGCGAACCAGCGTCTTACCCACTTAGCCACGTGATCCCCACTCACAAAGAGATACACCGTCAAAAGTGAAAATGGACGTTTTTGATTTTTGTCTTAATAATGAGTAATTGCTCCACCATTCCTCAGACATTCAGCAATTCGTCGTGGCATGCTCCTAATCAACCGTTCAATCACGATCTGACCCACTTCTCTTGCAGTGCCACGGCCAAATCTTGCAGTGTTGTCGGTTGACGTTGACGTCGGCGAACACGTACCTCGATCAAATTAAACGTAACACACTAAAGCAAAGATACGCTAAACAGTAAATCTTATGCAAGAACCGATAGGAAAGCAAACATGGATAGATAAACCAACACGCTGCAGTTTTCATCAACCCTTCCTTGAAGTGTCAAATTTGACAATGAACCCCTCCCACGTGTATGGCGCTATTGCGTGTCGCATGTGCAGCTCAGTTGGGGCGACAGGTTCTTCATCTGTGAACATACTCTCAAAGCATGTCAAGTATCCATGGCTATTTATCATATCACAACCTGCATAGGTATTTGCATTTCAATATCCCCTACTTTTTTTGAAGAGTATATTTGACTAAATGACGTCTTATGTATATAACACAGTCGATTTCCGCCATTCTTTAAAATGTTAGATCTTATGTTCTTTGAATAGCATTTAGTAATTGGAACATAATCAGATAACACAATATTTATGGGTCCACAAATATTGTGTTATCTGATAAGATCTTATGTAGTGTAGACATTTAGAACATTCAAGGCGAAACGAAATAATTTTAGACTTATTTTTTTTAATTACACACTTCTCTTTAAAGTAGAACCCACTTCTTTGCTTTTTGGCCACAGAGAGCAGTTGAAATCCACCCAACAGTTTTGGCTATGAAAATCTGAAACGTTGGCATGTGGCAAACATGTGACATGACATAACACCTATGGTGTCGTTGATCATATGGGTGGAGATATATCAGCTTCATAATCTATATAAATAAAAACAAAGATGTCTGTATGTATGTATGAGTGTTCGCCCATCATGCTTCGTCGCCGCGCCCCACCCCCACATACCATAACCAGCATAACCCCGTAAATCTTTTAGGCCATCGAATTCGGTCCCCGGGGGAATTTGGGCCCGGGCAAATTTGAGCCTCGTGCGAATTGGGCCACAGGCGAAGCCGGGTATCCTTCTAGTAGACCAATCAATGCAGAAATAGAATAAGTTTCAGTATACGAGCCTATGTATTTAGATGTAATTATTGTTGTTAAGCACATTGACTGATTAGTTTTAGTTGAACCCCGTGGGATATCTCGAGTAACAAAGCATCCAGGTTAGTCCCACAGTCGCCCACATGAGGGAAATTAGTCTAATATGTCAATATAATCAACATCTCATGGTTACAAAATGTTGATAACAAGGAACACTGTATCTAGCGCTGCCCACGTGAGGTACAGTAGTCAATTAGTAACAATATAATCGTCATCCCATGGTTTTAAAATGATGTAATCCTAAACTCGTGGGTTTTATGTTGGTTGTCCAGTTTCTAGCTAGCCACTGACAAAGAAATTTGCGCTACCTACATGTTGTTTGTGTTGAGCGAAGGGCCAATTCCAGTTCTCCGCCTCCACCCTCATAAACAGATTGAACTGCATTTGCCGTGTCGCTTGAGACTACGTTCTTTGAATTAGTCCTATTAGTAATGTCCTAAAGTATGTATATATTGACTCGAATGTGTGATCCTCAACTCTCGAGGGTTGTTATATACGTAGATATAGTGATATGGCTAACATGTAGATATATAAACATGGCCAATATCTCGTAGGACATTAGTTAATTATTGATACAGAGGACATATGTTAAGAAAGAACTTCTATGATACACAAGCTGTTACTACTATCTCGATAGACAAAGGCGTAAACTTGGAATTGTTATCGTCTTCAATCCAAGATTACCACTTTCATTGCTGTCAAGCATCACGGTACTAAATTATTACTCACGCAATTAAAGTAACAACAATGTTATCATTTTATTAAACCAAACGACGTGCCTATTAAAACGCAACCGTATACTCTCCATACTTCTCAAATAACACGTTTAAAGCCGTGCTAGGGTGACCCACCATAAATAAATATCTCCATATATCTCGACAATTACGCCACAATATTTATATATATGCCAAGCCTCAAATCAGTTTCACACAATTATAGTCACTAAATAAACTATGACCATTAATCATGTATAAATAATAGACTGAAAACTGGTTCCAAGAGTCGTCCATAACATCCAGACACTTTTGAGTAAAAGATAGGTTACGTGCCCTTGTTTTGAAATTAGTCTCGCTTAACCAGTCTATCGACCATTCTACGTCTGATTGACAGGTCGGGATAATCAAGACTACTTTTTTACGAAACAGAAAGCTAGAACAAGAAATTGAATTTAGAAATAAGCACGTTAGGTAGGTCAACAATCGTTTTAAGAAGCTTGTAAAAGTAAAATGAAACTACTGCTAGTATCATGTTCCTGTCTAACCCGAGTGATTCAAAGATATTATTTGTACTAAACCAAAAGATGCCGCTCTTAACGGTACAGTTAATGATAAAGCGATTTAAAAAATGAAACGAACGTAATTTCTAAATCTGCTGTAATAACCAAGAAGCTTAATTTTACTGCTATTCAAAATCGTCAACAATAAATTTTTTACGGCTGTAATAGTTGATAAATTTGTAGAGAATTGCACGTGCCATGGCTATTTATAATATCATACTGTCAGAAAGTTGGTCTCGGCACGGCGAATGTGCACGCTTCAGTGGTAGTCTCGAACTATCAGCGGTGGACTGTATTTCTGTGAGTACATGGGTCACCCTATTAAAGGCTCTAATTTTTTAATCAGTAAGCTACACATTGTTTGTTTACAGTAAAAAGTTGGGAATTACCCGAGAATATTACGGGTTTCGGCGCTTAAACTCTTAGATACTCTAAATCAATAAACATATTTAACAATTAGAATGATAACAAACAGGTTGAATAACGAAAACATATTATTATTCTATCACTGATTACAGATTATATATTTAAAACACAATAACTTGTTATTTCCAGCTTTAAAAAAACAAAGATTTATATATTAAAGATAAAAACCCCAGTACCAATCTCTTACGTAAATTTGATTCTTTCGTCAACGCGTATTCGTCATTTCATTTCTATGTGATATCCCGGTTTATTGAAAATTTCAGATCTAATTTTAGATGCTTAGAAATTCACCAACAGACTTTTCTTGGTTTTTGTTATGGTTATGGGGATCCCATTCAGGGCCTCCATAATACCTTATAGAAAAAATGATTATCAAAAAAACGAAGAAACCCATTGACTTGCAACTATTTTTAGCGAATACTACCATTGTTATCACCATTGCTGTCACTTCATGGATCATATTTTGTATTATTATAAAATTGTAAAAGAAAGGTCAGCTTTGAAAATGAAGACCCCGTGTAAACATGGCGGATTTGATACTCGTGCTGAATTTGTTCAGCTAATGATTTTCCATTTTAATGAAAAGAAAAGATACTCCTGTTTGTTGCTCCTACGACAAAGCTGTTGGTCGATTTATGCTTCATTGTCAATCAATTTATGTTTTTCTATTTCAGTGAAACTGATGACCTGGTGCCATGTGTGTTTGTCTATTGTGTGTATCCATCTTTACGCCTTCCTGTGGGCGGTGTTCCCCTTCCTAGGATGGGGTCGCTATGACGTAGAACCGTACGGTATATCGTGTACCATAGATTGGAAGAATCCCAGCACTTCTTTTGCTGTAGCGACTTTTATATTCTGTCTGGGCGTGCCAGTAGTAATTATGACAACGACTTATGGACTATTAATTAAAATCAGCAGGGAAATCAGTAGAAAAATGCAAAAATGGAATTCTGAAGATATTGTGTGGACCAAACAAGAACTATATCTGTTCAAGGTTAGCATATAAACTGAAATATAAAGTTCAAGGTAGCTTCATTGTTTGAGAGGGAGGTGGGAAGCCGAATGGTTTAACGCGTGAGTGTTAGATCATAAGGTCAGTCAATGAGTCAAGTGGCGTGGTTTCGATTCTCTGCTTGCACGTAACAAGGAGTAGCGTCACATGTCAGACATCGTGGGTTTCCTCCGTGTCCTACGGTTACCTCCCATATATATAAAAAACCCTACGCGCAACCGAATTATTGAATTAAAATTGAACCATATAACAAAGCCCCGAAATGACCTAGTTTGTGTCGAGTGGGCGTTAACCTCACTCTTTTTTCAAATTCCAACTGTCAAGGGTTCTTTACGTCCACGCAAATCTGTTCACGCGGCCTCGGTTTTTCATCCATCAGAACGACTAGACACTGTTACATGCCAGGCCCTCCCGTCCTGCACAACCGGCAAAGGGAAACCTGGTGCGCAGTGGTGGGTTTTATTTGACAAAAGGCGAGTCGCCGTTACTTTTGCAAATCGTTGGTATGGAAAATCATTTATTTAGACTGGTTGAACCGACAGGTCACGTCAATGGAGCTGTCGGTCATTGTGGAAAATTCAACCGAAGATGTGATATCGGTAAAGAAAAAACTATCAAATTAGTACAGTAATTTCATCGACTGGTGTCAGTCTAAGGTTTGGAATTTTAGAGTTTATTTTAGACAATCATATTTGGATCTACTTTGAGATAACACGTATTTGACCGAAAGAACATGCCAGACATTTTTCTGTAAATTTTTTTTCGCTTTTTTTTCAGATGACGATGATCATGTGTGGCTTCTTTTTGTTAGCGTGGATGCCTTACGCCATAGTTAATATATTATGCGTCATGATACCAAATCTACATATACCTCATAGACTTTCTGTTATACCAGCATTATGTGCCAAGGCCTCGCACACCATCAATCCCATCATATACTTTTTAAATAACAAAAAGCTACGAGCATTTTCCCCCAGTCTACCTTGTTTACGTGGCAAGAAAAATACGGAAGCTTCAAAGTGCTTGTCGCCAGCTACAAATGTGCCAACTGTCAATGTGACAACTTCAGGTAATCAGCGAGAGTGTAAATTGTCATCTGAATAGTTATTAGCTTTCTGGTTGATTTAGCTGGAAGGGTGGTTTTTATAGTAGTGGTTCCAGTAATGAGAAAATTGTCTCAAACGATGAACATGACCTTACATGTCAAATATTTTCCCTGTGATTAATCAAACGGGTGTACTTTTAATTTCCCTTTCGAAAAGATCACGACGACATTGGAAATCAATGGAATAGAAGCCCTTGGGATACTAAAAAAAAATCGTCAGACGTGAATCGTGTTGGAGTGTCCATTATAAACTAATGAGAGGCCATAGGTCAGCTTTGGTAAATCGAATCACGCTGGGTAACAGAAATATATATATATATGTGTGTGTGTCGGTATACTGTTGTTATCTACAATGTGCATCTTATCTTCGTGATGTTGATTATGTTATATTTATAGCTCGGCTTTCATGAGTTAATAGGTTTAACCAGAGGACGAAGGCCGAGGGGTTAAACCTGTTAACGAATAATGCATGCTATAAATGACTTGTAACATTGACACCTGCTCAACATGCTTGTTGTTATTGCACAGAAAACCCACCCACTTCTCTATATGATTTCTACAAAAACTAGTGTAAACCAGCAAAAGTGTGCAATGGCATTGAACATGTCTAGTTATTGCACGGTTAAGCTCCACCCAATCTACTAGAGGGAAAACAATCTCCTTATTCAACGAAAAGAAGAAAGGAAGATTTCCCATCCATGTTACAAATACAATTTCTTGTCGATATATTTTATTTAATAATACTCCAATAGTTGGTAAACAATTAAATTAAAGACGTTAAAATTACATTTACCAATGGACTGGTTGGTTGGTGTTGGTGTAATTCTTTTGAATCAGTTATTGGTTTAACATTAACAATTTCTGTATTTTTGAATTAATTACCGTATATCAATTGGTATTAAATGGACAAATCAAATGGATTTGTTTAGTTCGTTTTTCGATGTCCATTAAAACTAATGGAATTTAATCCCATGGCATATTAACTATACGAACTATGATATTACTGGACAAATAAGGTACATTTTTATTTTATTAAGTCGATTGCGCGGGGGGTCTTTAGCAGTGGGGGGGGGGGGGCGGAGAAACCCCATGAGGTTACGCATCGTAAGATATTCTGACAAGAGTTGAAGACAAATCGACATGAATGCTGAAAAGTGAACCACGCAACTTCGCTTTCTGGTTAATACAGATTTTAACTCATACAGGAAGCAAACGGGCAATAACCATGCATTTTAGTCGCATTTTCGCATATCCGTTTTAGATGTAACGTATTTAACAAGTGTTAGGGGGGGGGGGGGGCGATGGTTAGCTCGTGCGCGTGAAACCACAAGGTGTGTCATTGGCGTGGTTTTGATTCCCCGCGTGTACGCGACAAGAAGTAGGGTTGCCTGTTCAACCTCGTGTATTTGCTCCGGGTCCTCCGGTTTCCTACCACTACTAATGACCCCTGCGCGCAAGCGAATTATTGAAATGACATCGAATCATGTGTTTATCTTGAAATTACCTAGTTGCGTCGAGTGGACGTTAAATCCCATTTCTCTCTTTCTCTCTCAACAAGTGTTTGAATTGGGAATGTGTTAGTTCTTGATGTTCGCAATGTCTTCCTCATGTGCCGTTGATTATGGAAGGATAACGTTGCCAATATTATTTCATTGTTCACGGTGCAAACTGCAAATGTCAGTAGTTCAAAATACATATTTTAGTTTTACAATTTACAATTTCCATTGGTCAACAATACCAATGTCACGGTGTTAAAATACAGAATACACTTTTCAATAATACAAAATACAGTATAATAGTTATTTTGCACATTACACTTCTGCATTTTGCATAATAGACAAATGCATAATAGAACCTTGCATAGTAGAACATATACCTTATATGGAATGTACGACGTACGTCATTTGCATACGGAAAAAAATCCGGACTATGACGGAAATTAATGATTTACGCGATACAGCCATAAGGCCGAAGTGATTAGACGGGGACAGTACTCGATTTTGTTAGTCTTCAACGTCCAGGCTCTATAATGTAATCAGTTCGACGATTAGAGGATTCTGAAAGATAATAGTCTGGTTTAACGAGACTATCGTTATTTGTTGTCATCGGTAAAAAAACCCAGATATTTCAAGTGAATCAATTTCTTGTTAAAAATTAAATTGAATATCTTATTTAATTGACAGGTCCCTAAAACCCTTTTTTGGGGTAAGGTTAAAGAATCTTATAGTAACCGAGCGGAATCTCTCACCCGTATTCCAGCACCCGGATTCGAAATGAAGTTAGCACACATATTCCTAGCGCCAATAAAAACCTAGATATAATTATCACGAAAATAATTGTTACCTTTATATTAGAAAATAACATTTTAAGACATATTAATGCAAAGTATATAATAATATGTAATAGACCCCCCCCCCCCCCAAAGAAAATTTGCTGAAATAAAGATCTTGGAGTCACCAAAGCTAGTTTAGAAGTTATTGTGTGCGCAGTGAGCCTACCCTAACTCGATTCCCCTACATATTTAGTGCTTTACGGTAATATATCTAGAATAGCCAACATAGGAGGCTTCTGAAATTGTACAGTCTAGTAGTTTATTCATCCCTTGATTCTGTGAAACAAAAAACATTTTGCCACTAAAGCTGGTTTGGGTGCTTTTTGATGCAGCGTGGACGTACCCCTTATTTATTGAACCCACGAACCCCGTCTCGAATCCGGGTGCTAGGTACTTTGCGGTGGTATATCCCGATACGCCAACATAGAAAGTTAATGAAATTTGGCATGTTCACACCATATGCATCTATCGATTTGATGAAATAAAGATCTTTGAGCCACCAAAGCTAATTTAGAAGTTATTGTGTGCGCAGCGAGCCTACCCTATCCCGATTCCCACACATATTTAGTACGTTTACGGTAATATATCTCTAAAAGCCAGCATAGGAGGCTTCTGGATTTTTGTATTCTAGTAGTTATTCATCCCTTGACTCTGTGAAATACAAAACATTTTGCCACTAAAGCCAGTTTGGAGTGCTTTTTGGTGCAGTGTGGACTTACCCCTTGTTTATTGCATTGGCGAACCCCGCCTCGAATCCAGGTGCTGGGAACTTTGCGGTGGTATAACTCGATACGCCAACATGGAAAGTAAATGAAAATTGGCCTGTTCATATCTTATCCATCTGTTGATTTGGTGAAATAAAGATCTTGGAGCCACCAAAGCTATTTTATAAGTTATTGCGTGCGCGATGAGCCTACCCTAACCCGATCCAACTATGGTTTTATTATGTTTACGGTGATATTTCTCTAAAAGCCAGCTTAGGAAGCTTCTGAAAATTTGTATTCCATAAAACAAAAAAACATTTTGCCACCAAAGCTGGTTTCGGTGCGTTTTGATGCAGCGTGGACGTACCCCTTTTCTGCGTGCTCAGTTAGCCTAGTGTGCGATATTTTAGTATGTTTACGGTAATAGTATATTTTTTTTCATGAGGTTTGGGGGTGGGGGTCTATTACATTTATACTTTGCATTAATATGTCGTTTTCTAATATAAAGGTAACAATTATTTTCGTGATAATTATTATATCTAGGTTTTAGGAATATGTGTGCTAACTTCATTTCGTATCCAGGTGACCTTATGGCTTTATCGCGTAAATCATTAATTTCCGTCATAGTCCGGACTTTTTTTCCGTATGCAAATGACGTTCGTCGTAGATCCCATATAAGGTATATGTTCTACTATGCAAGGTTCTATTATGCATGTGTCTATTATGCAAAATGCAGAATGCAGAAGTGTAATGTGCAAAATAACTATTCTACTGTATTTTGTATTATTGAAAAGTGTATTCTGTATTTTAACACCGTGACATTGGTATTGTTGAGCAATGGAAATTGTAAATTGTAAAACTAAAATACGTATTTTGAACTACTGACATTTGCAGTTTGCACCATGAACAATTAAATAATATTGGCAACGTTATACTTCCATAGTTGATGAGTTGACAATTTATCTTTCGGATCATAATCATGATACTAAAGATGTGGTCAACAAGTTGGAAAAGGGAATATGTTAGTTATTGATTTCGCAATGTCTTTCTCACGTATTTGCTGCGAGCTGTTAACATATAGTCTTTATCATTAATCATTGTACTTATGGTGTGGTCATATTCCAAACTACAATATTGTGAGAGGTGAATCTCAAATAAGACTATCGGTCCAAAAATGGGTAAATTCCGTTAAGATATGCGAAATTGAAATTTCATCGGTCAATGTTGCTCGCTATTAACCATCCCAAACTTAGGCTGCCTGTCTACAGCTAGCTCCGCCTGAGAACAGGCCTTAAGCTAATTAACCGACATTTTAATTCCTACATCGACGATTTTAGTCGAAAACACTGAGTATGCTTTAAGTAATTTTTAATAGTATTTATTTCTCTTCTATTGTCATATTGAATGAAATTAAATATGTTTATTTAGCCGCTGTGTGTAATGAAAGATGTCAAACTAATCAAAGCCGAATCACAAAATAGTCCTCTAATTATTCAATATGGCGGCGCCCATGATTGCCATGAAAGATAATTTCACAGAGGCGGTTTTGTTTGCGAAGACAAATTTAGGAGTATCTAACCTTGTTTTGAAAGATAAACAGATTGAAACTCTAAAGACAGTTTACAATGGCAAAGAATGTATTGCAATATTACCCACTAGCACATATTATATATCGCTTTACCGGAGTGGAAGACATGTGTTTACATAAAACACGTGCTTGGTCGGGGTATTTTTACTCTGTGTTGTACACAAAGCTGTATTCCAGTCGATAAGTCCCGCCCCAAAATCATCACATGAGCGTTTTAAATGGAGGCTAACTAGGGCAGTAATCATTATTCTCGAAGTAAGTTTTTCTATTAACAAGACGCCGCCATATTTTAGTGTTAGCGGTGAAATATGATGGGCCTTGTTTAAATCCGATTGAATCCGAACCGGGACATTATCTAGCGTTGGTGTTTTGTTTTCTTAATTAAATGTATAATAATCAGTCTGAGTACATATTAACGTGTCAATGGCGCATCGGGATTTTAAACATGCATTCATATGCACTTAAGCTATATAGGTTTAAATGTAGACTGGTTTCCATTCTTCTGAATAATTATATTTAAAATAAATAATTATATTTCAAATAAATAATTATATTTAAAATAAATAATTATATTTAAAATAAATAATTATATTTAAAATAAATAATTATATTTAAAATAAATAATTATATTTAAAATAAATAATTACATTTAAAATACTGCCGTTTTGAGTGATTCTATTCGGGATGCAGCGATCATTTTGTAACAACGCGCAAGTAAGTCGTCTTAAATGATAGCCGACAGCATATGCCCAGTCTCGCTTTGAAGCTACTACAAAAACTATCAATACCTTTCATGGCCACATCAAATTTGAAAAGAATCCGTTTAAAGTTAAGCCTTTATCAAGTTCACGAGGTTTTCGGCAGGGGGGGGGGCACTGAAAATCGACAGGGTTCACTTTCGCTTGACCCCAATACTTCACACCAAATTTGAAAAGAATCTGTTAAAAACTGTAGATCATATCACATTCACAAGGTTTTCGGCAAAGGGGGGTCACTCCAAATAGAAAGTCGCGGAACGCGGAGAATCGACAGGGTTCATCTTCTCGTCATGACCTCAATGTTTTACACCAAATTTTTAAACAAAATTCCACCAAAAACTGTAGCCTCTATCGCGTTCATGGGCCAATTGTTGACATACGGGCTACCGGACAGGGAGACGACATAATTATTAATACGCCCACACTGAGAGGGACACAACTGGTTTCGCCACCGTGTATATACTTTTACGTTTTTAATTATCATATATTATAATTTCGTTGGGATAATGGT